TATCAACCTCGTCCAAGTTCAAGCAAAGAAAACAACGATTTTTCATTTCGTTGCTAGAAAGCATGGGTCCTGTATTACCTTCGCGCAGTCAGCTTCGGTTTCCAATAAATAGCATCGAGTTTGTGACCAGGATGATGATAGAAGTCAGCCGGCTTGCCGTGCTATTATGTTGTCGCTTTTTCAGTATGATGGGTATACAAGATGAGTGGAGAACCTGAGAACAGGGTTATAGTTGTAATTGTTCGATATTGGAGCGAGGGCTGAGACGTTCTGCCACTATTTCACGTAAAAAGAGATAAGAAAAATGCCCTGAAATCGATGTAGTAAGTCCATCCAATCTGTGATAGAAGTATTGAGTTAACTCACCAAATGACCTTCGAGAGCAGTTTACATTGAACAAACTAGTAGATCAGTTTTCTTTTTTGATTTGAACAAATTTTCAAAAAGCTGTTATTTTTTGACTCTGTGAGGAATTGATGACATTGTTTTCTTTGATTTTGACTAACAAGGAAGTATGCTACATTTAAGAGGCCAATCAGAACGTTTTAGATTTGACCGATGCGAGTTAATAAGGCGGTGAACTGTTAGGGTGCGAAAGTTTAGAGACACTTGGATACACTTCTGAGTTCATTTATAATTTTATTTGATTTCTCATTTTTATTTATAGACGTTATTTATGCATTCTTCTTACGAGGAGTCACCAAAACTATCCTCTTCTCGAAGAATAAGAGAAGGCTGTGAGACAAAGAACCTAGCCACAACATTCTTGAGATCATCGAAGTTGGCGAACTTTTCCTGAGCAGGAACTGCTTTAGGTCCCCAAAAGGTATTAGTCGGAAGAGATGAGGTTAGGAGAAAAGCGAGGGTGAGAGGGTATTTTCAAGTTCATATAACCTGGATTGTGTGATTATTGCTACGTTAGGCTGAGCGCTGTCATACAGAAAATAGACGAAACTAATCTTGATCGCGATTCTTCGAGTGTGTGAGCGAGATCTCGGAGCTGACTGTTGTGGATGGTTGCAGTTATTTTCATGGCCTTTAGGCCTTTTTCCTATGAAACGACAACACGTGCGAATCTGTATCTCAAAACTTTTGCATCAACTCAATGGTAAGCGCGACATCTTCGATTCATGTGCTTGTCTTGGAAGGATGTGAGCTGGTTTCTCGAACGTTGTTCCGTTTTTTTTTCTCACTAACACAAAGGGATACTTCTACCTCGTTTACTCAAGATGTATCGCCAACTCTTGGCTGCTTTCTCCGCTCTAGATAGTTGCTCGAAAAAAACCGATTCTGACTTTTGAAGCAAAAATCCCGCCTGCATGACTTAACTGACGTCTTCATTGAAAAAACAATTATATAATAATTGATGACCATCGCATGATCACATGTGGTACTTTGATGCGATGTTGGTGTTATGGGCAGGAAGGTTTCACGCAACCTCAAACACATTCTAAATGTATGCGCGAAGAAAAGCTCACTCGGCATCGCTCTCCTGTTCAGGGAAGATATGAAAAAATTGTAGGAGGAATTGAGATGATCATGCTGTGTACGTATGATATCTGCTAACTTCTGTCGTAAATCATAGGTGGCCTTCGGTAGTAGAGGAGCAGGATTCCTTTTTAACCATAGGAAAACGCTACCAGTCTCGCTTCCCAAAAATACAAGACATGAGTCCATCTACATGCACTGCAGGAGTGAAGCTTCTAGATGACATGACAAATCCTGATGTGATAGGTAGAACCTTTTTTTGAAATCAGGGGTGAGCGGGATTTCCATGAGATCACACGTGTCTTGTTGATCTTGCCCGGAGCCCCACCATCTCAAACTTGACATGACATCTCTGGGTGCATCTTCAGGTAATATCAAGCTTTAAGACAGCCAGACAGAAAGGCAGAAGTGATGATGGTGATTCCATAGATAGTAATTGATTGCGACGGCTTCATTTAAAGAATGATTGGAGCCTTACGAATGCCTTCGGA